GTCATTGTCCAACTCTCTGATGCATAACAAGTGATTACAAAGACCATGGCCTGTATCAGACGCACCTTAGTCTCCAGAGAAACACCATTGCTCTTCAGTACTTTGGAGAGGTCCCTGTCCAATGACATGTTCAAAAACAAATGCTCTTTATTCCTGTTGATCATTAGGGTGAAAATCATGGATTTCATCTTAGGTGGGAAACACATTTCTAGTAAATCGCAGAAGGGAGGGATCATTGTAGTGTGCTGTGCTGCTAAGCAAAGCTTGTCAGTCAGATCCATCAGCTGCTCCAGTGAAGACGAGCAGTGAAGAGCTTTACCACCTCAGAAACCTAGGGAAGCTTTGAATCAGAACCAGCTGAATGGCAGTGAGTTTGACTTTGACACTAATTCTTAGAGTGAATGCAAAATGAAGTGGGGTTTTTTTAGCGTAATATATCAGATGGAATTATAAATTCTTCATTCTGTGTTTGTTTGCAGCACAGCCCAAAAGGCTGCAGAGATTTATGGGAGAGTGAAATAAGGCCGCTTGAGTGAGAATGTACGGGGCCATTCAGTGGAGTATAATTTTGTCTGATGGATTATCTCCCTATGGAAGTAACCATGTTACTACCAGAACTTGAATTATACGAGATTTAAATGGTAATCCTAAGAGAATTCCCATAATAGGAAAAAAAATGAAAGGATGTCGCTATCATCATAATTGAGTTTTGTTCAAAAAGTATTTGGGGGATGGGCCTGTGGGCTAGGTAGTATTTATTTGCCTCTTTTCCTTCAGGAGGAAGAAAAATACTATAAAGGAAGAGGGTGCTTGAGTGGTATAGTGTATAGGACATTCCTCTGGCACCCTGAATCCACCAGCAGCTCTATAGGATATAGATGGACAGTCCCCTCACAGGCTGTTTACAGCCTCAGAATCCTAGTGGAGGGTCAGCTATGAGTTGGTTCAAACTCAGTGACAATGTGTGATAAAGAACTGGGCAAAATTATTTGCAAGTGATATTTTTTATGGTGTTAAGTGAAGCAAATTAACGAAAAAAAACAGCCAAGTCATAATCCAGTAAATTGGCTGGTTCTAATATTACTATGAGCTCCAGTCTCTTAGTGGTGAGGAATTGCATTGGCAACCTAAAGATGTGCGGTTTGAGTCCACCAGCTCCTTTGAGGGAGAAAGATGGGCAGTCTCCTCCCATGCAGTCTGTTGCTTCTGAAAACTAGCCCACTGACTGACTGAGTGGTACACAACAATATTAATGCGGGGAGCTCTGGTGAACTGGTAGGTAGAGAGTTTTATTGAAAACCACCAGGTAGATGGTTCTAATTCAACAGATACTCTTTCGGAAATAGGTGAATAGTCTACTCGTGATTTACAGCCTTTGCAAATACATTGGAGGGTCAGCTCTGAGTAGTTTCTGAGAATTTTGATACATGAGAATTGATGACCTTTTTAAAATGTAAACAAAAATAGTTAGAAAATGATGGAAGGAGCACCTGAGAATGTAAACTACCTAGAGATAAGATTAATAATAATAATAATAATAATAAATGCCTTTGAGGTTTGTGTAAAAGAGATACAATTAACAAGTAAGGAGGGGAAGAGAATAGGAACTTTGTCATAAAAAGGCCAGCGGACTCTGCTGTTGATTCCAACTCCTGGGTTTCCAAGGCTGTGTGTCACACAGGAGACTGCTTGTCTGGCTCTGGCCCCCTCTGAGTCACTCAAGCTGGATTCAAGTTGCTGGAGGCTCTGCCTTGGGTTAGCAGCACTCGCTGCCCACTGCCTAGTGAAAGGAAGGCCAGGTCTGGAAAAGTTCTTTTTAAATGTATAAAGTCACTTCTATGCTAAAATACCAATAGAATTTTAGGGAGGACTGTTACAGAGAAAGACTAGTCAATTTCATCTAGAAACATATGGGACAAGCCAGATGCCTGATGATTTTGATTGAAAAGCTCACTTTGTTACAGGCAGGGGACAGTGTTGAGCCTCAGCACTGTTGTGCTTTTATGGATACAGCAGGGCAACTTGTGGGAAGAAAGTTTTCTGGCTCCTTTTACATCTTCCTAAGGGCAGACTTTGAGCCTGCAATCTTATCTGCGTTCTTCTCAACTGAGGACGATTTGTATTTTTTCCAATAAGAAACATGAACATTAAATCAACTTAACTCCAAACAAAGAGGCTTTAGGCCAGAGATTGTGCTGCAGATGTCATGTTTTCTCCATAGTATTTTTCTGGGAAAAGAGCTTATAGACCTTAGAGCAACATACTTAAAAATTTTTCATGTTACACACAAGTAAGAAAAATATTACATAGTAATGTCAGAACCTCAGAATTTTCCTGACAGCCTCATTTGCACAAATAGTAGTCTTCAAAAAGAATGAGAATAGTGTGTTGCAATATTTTAAATCTCTTTAATGTCTAGCTTAAAGGACAGCTGGAATCTAATATTCCATTTATTGTGCTGTGATGTTTTGATTGAAGAATGTGCAGATAGCCTCTCACAGACACATACTTGGAAAAGACCCTTCCAGACCCTTAAAAGGCATCAGGTACCTCTAGATATCCTGATTGAGTCTAAAAGGAAAAGTGTAATAGTTTTCAGAAATTGGAGGAGAGGTAAGTGGAAGAAAAAAATAAACGGTGTTGGCTGCCTGTATAAAAGTTTACTCAATGTCATTTATTATTCTAGGTTAAAATCCTTCATAAAGAAGAAAGATCTTAGGCAACATGATGGATTCAGAAGCTCATGAAAAGAGGCCACCAATCCTGACATCTTCAAAACAAGATATAGCATCACCTCACATTACCAATGTTGGTCAAATGAAGCATTACCTTTGTGGCTGCTGTGCAGCTTTCAACAACATCGTGATCACATTTCCCATGCAGAAGGTCCTCTTTCGACAACAGCTCTACGGCATCAAAACCAGGGACGCAATCCTTCAGTTGAGGAGGGATGGATTCCGAAACTTGTATCGAGGAATTCTTCCCCCGTTAATGCAGAAGACAACTAC